CCAATATCAGGATCTTTTCCAGGGATTCTTCTCTTCTCATGAGAATTCCAAAGTATTGGAGTCTCAGCTTCAGGATCTGTCCTTCCAGTGTGCACTAAGGGTTGATTTTCTTCAGAATGGATAGGTTTGTTCTCCTTATAGTCCAGGGGACTCTCAAGAGTCTCCTCCAGCACCACAATTCAAAAGCATCAATTCTTCAGTGGTCAGCCTTCTTTATGGTCCAGCTCTCATTTCCATACATCACTACAGGAAAAACCATAGCTTTGACTCTGCGGCCTTTTGTTGGCAAGGTGATGTCTCTGCTTTTTAAGATGCTGACTAGGTTTGTCATCGCTTTCCTCCCAAGAAGCAGGTGTCTTTTAATTTTGTGGCTGCTGTCACCATCTGCAGTGATCATGGAGCCCAAGAAAATAAAATCTGTCACTGCCTCCATATCTTCCCCTTCTATGTGCCAGGAGGTGATGGAACCAGTGGCCATGAGCTTAGTTTTTTTGATGTTGAGCTTCAGACCATTTTTGGCGCTCTCCTCTTTCACCCTCATTAAGAGATTCTTTAATTCCTCCTCACTTTCTGCCATCAGAGTGGTATCATCTACACATCTGATGTTGTTATTTCTTCCAGCAATCTTAATTCCAGTTTGGGATTCCTCCAGTCCAGCCTTTCGCATGATGTATTCTGCATATAAGTTAAATCAGCAGGGAGACAATATACAGCCTTGTCGTACTCCTTTCCCAATTTTGAACCAATCAATTGTTCTATATCCAGTTCTAACTGTTACTTCCTGTCCCACCTATAGATTTCTCAGGAGGTAGATAAGGTGGTCAGGCACTCCCATTTCTTTAAGGACTTGCCATAGTTTTCTGTGGTCCACACAGTCAAAGGTGTCGTCAATGAAGCAGAAGTAGATGTTTTTTCTGGAACTTTCTGGCTTTCTCCATAATTCATCTTCACAATGGACACACCCAAAGGCAGTGAGCTTGCTGATTTCTGAAAAGGTTTGTGTACATTATTTGTCCATATGCACAGTATGGGAGGGAGCAGGGTCTCCTTGTTGGATAAACTAGTAAAATGCCAGCACTAAATCGGCTGTCTGTGTCTTTGTGACCAATCAGCCTGTCCTTTTATATTTCTGTATGCACATGTTTAGAGTCGCAAGGAAAAGGACATTGCTTTGCATAGCAACAGAAGTTTTACACAAAGTATATTTAGTGCAAATTTCAAAAACTGCATCAACAGGCTCTAATTCTTTGGTAGCCAAGTGTGCTGTCAAAACCAAAGCCTTCCAATGGGGTTGACGGATGTTCTTAGTGCAGTCATATTGTGCCATGTCAAACAGAGCCACCTAAAATGTCAAGAGTAATTAGATCTTTTCATGTGACACATCGCAGATTCAATCCCTGCCATCTCCAGGAGAGGCTGACAAAGATCCCTGCCTACAAACCCTGGAGAACTGTCCCTAGTCAGCATAATCCAGAGGGAGGAACTGTTAGTCGTCCAGACATCTGGGACTTCAACCCCCAGAAGCTCCAACCAGCATGGCCACTGAGTTCTGTGGTCTGAAAGAGCCAGAGAGACAAACTTGTGGAATAGACAATGCTGAGCTTGATGATCCAGTGGTCTGAGCTTGGTGGTCTTTGTTTTCTGTGTTCTTAAGAAGTGAGATTCTTATTCCCCTGAGCTGCTATACATACTACGCCCAATATCACCAGCCTTCTCCCATCTCCTACTTGGAGATTACTAGTCCAATTTTATGCATGGTAATTCAGAAGTCGGTCCCACTGAATTCAGTAGGATTGTCCCTACAGAATTGCAGCTTCCGGACTAAACAAAAAGTTTCAAATGGCCACTCTGGCAACCAGCAGAGTTTTCCGAGTTGTTATAAAGATAACACAATTCTTTGGAGATGAAAAGTATTGTGGAACAGTTGCTCTAATGCTTGTTCAATTTAAGGCATCATTTACACTCCCTGCCCCCCATAGGCTACTTGGCAGTATTTGACTACCTTGTTATTGTTAATGAAATCTGAGTCAGGGTACTTCGGTAGTGAACGGCTCCTTGTTTTGTGAACATTTTGTGATCATTTGCACTTAACAAACCTCCAGGTGGCATGCAGCGCACCACTTTCATTCCACAGCTGACCCAAGTTTGCAGTTTGATTGTTTCTTCACACTGTACAATAGATTTTAGTATTTACTCTCTTGAGCTGTCCCAACAAACTGGACCATGCTTAGCTTAAACAAGTTTTAAACACTGGCTCACAGCAAGTCGTGCTAACTATAGTTTTTAGATATTCCACCCACTGGTATTTTACTCTCTCTCTCTAATTCTGGCTTGTGCATCACATCACCTATTTGGAGTTCAGGCCAGAACCATCGTAATGTTGTTGTGCTTTGCAACAATGACACTGGATTATCCTCTTGTAAGAGTTAAGAAAGTTTGGAAGGTTTGGAAGAAGCTCTTATTTAATGATATTTCTTGTGGTGTTTTTATTTTCTACCATGGCATAGCAGCATCGCCGTCAGATAAGTAAATAAGCCTCCTTTTTTTTAAATAAACAAGGGTCAGAATTGCATGAAACCCCTTTTAAGGCTACCTGGTTAAACGTTAAATGGATTCAAGACGAAAAATTGGTGCTTTGTTTTGCTTTTTAAAGCACATTTTAAAAGTGTGGGGGGCTACATAAAAAGAAAGGGCATAGAGCAATATTGGGATCCCGAAGGTCCTCTCATTAATGGCGACTCCTTTGCTTTCCATAAAGTTTCAAAGGAAATAGCAGGTAAGTAGGTGTATTAATGCAGTTGACCTTCCTGAACTGTACCTCCCACAAGTCCTTCACAGCCATCAAGCTTGCTAAGAGCTTCAAGCTGTTGTCTCATGCCTTTGCAGAGCTTTGTACATAGCTGCATCAAACCCTGTGTACAATAAGGTGGCCATTTATTCCAGCAATCTTTCGAATCAAAGCAAATCTTCCTGAACGTAATCCCACCCAAACAGTGGCAGTCAGTGTGCTGAAAAGTGGTTAGAGAGTCCGATTCAGGAGATCCAGATTCAAATACCCCCAAACTTTGACCCACCCACCAAGTCTCACCGTAACCTAGTTAATACGGTTGTTCTGGGGCTAGTGCAGAAAGGAACAGGTATGGTGACTTGAACTCCGAGATGCAAAAGAAAGAAAGAAAGAAAGAAAGAAAGAAAGAAAGAAAGAAAGAAAGAAAGAAAGAAAGAAAGAAAGAAAGAAAGAAAGAAAGAAAGAAGTCAGCAGCCCAATAGAATAATTGTACGCCCACCTATACTTTGGGGGTTCTTACATTCAGTAAAAGGGGCTCCATAAGTCTAATGCTTTCTTTTCTCTGAAACTTACTAAACAATGGATGGATATAAACACCTCAGTGAAATACAGAGACACCTCTCTGCTTTGCACTGCATCCTTCTTAGCTATTCCAAGCAAAATATTTGTTTGTTTGTTTGTTTTCTAATATATGTATTCTATACCCCACCTCCAGCAGGTGCTTCTGTGATTAAATAAAATTTAGAATTTTAAAAAAACCTTAATTATCATTAAAGTGGTGTAGTGGCTATCAACGCTTGGAGAAATTACCCTTTTAGACTACAGTACTCAGAATCTTCCAGTCTGCATGACCAGAGAGCTTAGAAAAGTTACTTTTTAGACTACAGATTCAAGAATGCACAAGTTAGCATGGGTGGAGACTGTGTCCTGGTTTCCAGATGGTGCGGGATATAAATCCAATCAATCAATCAATCAATCAATCAATCAATCAAGTAGGGAGTCTGGGAGTTGTAATTCAAGAAAATAACCTTTCAAACCTTAGCAGTGAGAGTGTTGGACCAGTATGGGCCTGGTCTGGGTTAAAATATCTATGCAGCCATGAAGCTCATGAGATGACATTGGTTAAGTAATCATCTCTTGGCCTAACGTATCTCACAGACTACTTGTGAGGAAAAGAAATGAGGAGGATCATGAACTCTGTGAAGTGAGAGGCAGGAAATAAAAATAACAAACAAATAAACAATGGTATTCCCTACTGCACCTCACTATCTTATTTATGGTTTAATTCAGGCTCCTTTCCTTAATTGCTTTTCCTAAAAGGAAATCAGACTCCGCCCTCTTGCTACATTACATAATTAGTCATGCAGCTACATTCTACATTGGGCTCAAAACTATATAGATGGGGTTCAGTGTCTCATATTCCCAATTATGATAGGTGGCAGCAAAGCATGAGAGCCTATTTTGACCCAATATGTTGTAATTTCTTTACCACGCCTGCCTGTAAGTGTCTGCCTTTCTGGGTACTGACCAGTTTTAGAATTCCCTGGTCCAGAAGAGCAATTATTGTCTTGCATCCTTTTTCCTGATAGCATGTCTTACAATTGTCAGTGAATTTACAGTGACAAAATAATGCGTGTTTTGTTAGCTGAAATCCAAGTTCCAAGCATAGATTTGAGCCTTTTTATGCAGACATACATCTAAATGAAAATTATTCAAGGCCAAGACAGGTTTATGAAGACATGAGAGCAGCCTCTGAATTAGGCCCTCTTAAGTCTTTATCTCTGATGACATGCCTTCCCCGTTAGCACCTGATGGAATGAAGATTCAGAGTGTTAATATGCAATAACTGTATCTCAACATGTTGCAGGTAGTTCAAGGCCATTGTGCATAAATGCAATACATTGCCTCTTGTCTCAATCTTTAAAATTTCCAAATATCTTTGCACGTCAGCACAGGTTAAGGTTTAATGCATCCTCTTGCCATGAATGTATCATTCAAGATGAAGAAACAAACAAGTATTTATTTAAACCATTTGTGAACATCGCACAAGCTTTCAAACCACTAATCATATTTTTCTCGACTAATTTGAATCTTTCCTTAGGTTTTCTGCTCTAAATCATTAGCATATAATATTCATTATTTCACAGTGTTAAGTCACTCAATTTTATTCTCTCTTTCTTTTCCCCCTCCAATATACCCCTGCTCCTTGCAGTACCAACTTGTGGAAACATCACCTTGGAGAAATCTGGTCTTGCGATGGGACAAGTGGGCCATCTTCTGCACAGTTGCAGCGCTCATGATCAGCATTCCGTTTCTGGTCTATCAACTCCTAATCACTTTTAAGGATCCTCCTCCTGCTCTTGTTTTCCACATTGCAGCCATTACCTTTGGAGTGCTCACAGAAATACTCCTGACCAAGTGAGTGAAAGCAGTCTCTGAATTTCCTTGTGCCACTTCCTTCAAGGTTGAAACAATGTGCCTTACAGTTAATCTCTCATTAGGAGAGGGAACTCCTCAAGTAGCGAGAGTGTGTGACTGTCGCAGCAGGAGCTTTTTACCCCTCATAATTTTTTTTATTAGTTGGCCTTGTTTTTTTCTCTGGTCTTCTAGCTATGGCTACCTGCTTCCATTGCAAACTCTGATTTCTCGGACAGGAAAACGTTCCTCTCAGTTCTAATTGTGAGTTATCAGTAACAGACAGTTTGGCCCTCATGCAAACAAGGCTTGCTCCAAGCAAGTGTCAGTGAGTAAACCTTCTCCCTGTTCTCTTCCACCTCACTCTCAGTTTCTCAAAGATGGGACTTAACCACTAGCAGGGGTTGTAGCACGCCTTTATACTTTTGTCAGAATTGTCAGCATGGGAAATTTTTTAATCTCACCTTTTGTTAATGGCAACATGTGCCTCCAGAATCTGACAAGTTGTAGTTGATTTTGAAAATGGTTTGTCTGAATCTTCAAACAACGGTTTATGAAACTGACTTGTTTCAGCAAACTATAGATAAAATGAACCAGATTTGTTCAGATAACAAGCAACAATGTTTTTAATCAGGACAGAAGCAAAATCTCCCAGTCTTTTTCTCATGGCCACACTATAGAATGTGAGGTGGGGAGGAACATGCGCACAGGTGGAGGATAGGCTTGTTTCTGTCACAATGAACCATGGTTCACCATTATGAATACATTCATTATTTTTCTCTGTGGTATAAACATAGCTAACTTCTTCCTTTCCTGGTTTACTTCATCCTAATATATGCATAATAAGTAGTCCACTCTCTTGTTTGGAACGTACTGTAAAATATCACTACATATTTTTCACTTTTTTTCCACAACTTGTTGTTCTGTCGCATCCTCGGTTTAAAACTAAACCTTAGGGCTGAAGTTCATCCATAATGAAATGCCATCTTAGTTTCACTTTATCTCAAATCAACAGGCCCCACACCGACATGATTATCTTGAAGCTGTGATGGTCACCATTAAAATGTTGACATTTACTGTTTGAAACTAATTTGCGTTACTGTGAAATTGCAGGTATGCCCTGTAAATAAGTGTCGCTAACATGAATTATCTTCAGACACTTAATGTCAGCATTTTAATGATGGCCACTCTCTGTTGTAGGTGCCTGTAATTTGGAGGCGCAGGAGCAGGGTCAGGCTTTAATGAAGTGTCGGAACAACTGAAGAAGGGTGGGAAAATGGAGCGCAAAATGAGAAGGCAGAAAGAATAAGAAATGAAATCCCAGTGACCTAGTCTTCAGACACAAATCTGAATCTAAACATGTACAGTATTTGAAATATTATGTATTCATTCTGGGAGGCACAAAAGCAAGAAAATGCTAATAGTATTTAATTCCCCTTGACTTCTAACCTTTTTAATCTGTTCTGTTGCTTGTTCAATACTATAAATTGAGGCTGTTTTATACCAAAGGGCGAACATACGCACTGAGTCATTTTGGATTGCCTGACATTTCTTTTTAAAAAGGGAATATATATTGGAGTTGATCTTTTCTCCCTCCCCAGTTTTTAAGCAACTGGCTTGCATCTGCATTGGCTAAGGAAAAACAGGAACAAAGAGGAAAGGATCATTAAAGGGAGCAGAAAATCACTGTAGAAACCATAGCAAAGCACTTAGCCAAAAGTATCACCGGCGTATTTCCCCTCCCCCCCATGCTCGCCCGCCCTTATTTGTGTAGTTTTTATTTTGTTTTGTTCTTTAATTTCCTCTTCTCAATAAAATACCAGTTGGAAAATTGCCCAGGGACTCCTAAATCATTAGTAAACTAAGAATCTGCTTTTAATAACATTGAACTTGTAAATAATGCATTAATTGACTAGCTTGAAAGTTAGCTTGAATGCTAGAAATTCTGGCTACAAATGCATAGTGAAGGAAGGATGCAGTGCGAGGAGGCTGCACAATGAACGGAACAAATTAAATATGACAGTTGATATTTGCGAAAATGGTGAGATAATTGGAGGACACCTGCAGCTGTTTTCCAACCAAAACAACACAAGCGGAATCTGTATCCTATCGGAGTGTGTCACATTTTTATTTGGGCACAATTCTTTCTTGTCCTCCTTGGGGTTTTTGTACTGTGAGTTTGTGTTTGTTCATTGCCTACCTTTTGTCAGGTCATACGTCTAAACAGGCAACAAGTTCCTCTTTGTCTGATTCTACAGTTTATTGTTTCTGTCAGTGTTACATCTTGCAGTGTAAAGAGTAAGAACATGAATCTTATTTACTAAGAGCTGGGAGTTCCTACAGAATATGACTCATGCTCAAACATATTTATACACTGGAGGAGGCTTGAGTATTTCAACATGTTTATCTCTGAGCCCCTTGCCTGCATTGCTGGTTTCTTGATCTCTCCATGAGAGGTCTTTTCAATTAATAATCTGACTCTTAGCTCGACCCTAAGAAACAATGGTGGGTACGTCGTTCTGGAAATGGATGTGCTATTCTGAAAGTGTACCTCAGCGAGCACCGTGCCATGTTTGGAGCTGGGGCTGACACACAAGAAGAAAACACTGAACAAGTTACTCAAGAATCATCACAGCTCAGTGGCAAAGGGATTCCAATTTCATTTCCCAGCATCTTTAGGTAGACATAGGATAGACCCCCTCCTGAACACTTCAAGAACTTCTGCCAGTCCATGAAGGTGGGGTGGACCATACAGCATCCATGGTTCCTCACCCCCATTTAACCATTTTTGCAGCTTCCCGAACATCTCCTTTCCTTGCACTGCTGCATCTGGTGCACTGGTGATGGGGAAAAAAATCATGACTATGGGTGTTTCTCTGGGCATTGATTTTACTGATGCATCATTTTCAATATTTGGCAGTTTTGGTTGCATAGCCCAAGGCAGTTTGGTAGCAAAATTAGCCCCTGGAACCATAAATCCGACCCATTCTTAGTATACACAATTGTGATCTAAACCAATGTACAAGCAGAACAACCGTCATCTAATTGCAGTGTGTCACTTGTAGCTGGATGTTTCCTCCATCTCATATTTTAACCTCTTGTCCAATGAAAAGTACCCAAAGTTGCTGTAACTCAAAGAGTGTTGTTAATTTGCCTTAGTCTGTTGTTCATGATATACTAGCCACACCCACTGGTACTCTCAAGGGAAAGTTTTTGCAAGGCAACAAGGCTCTTTTAGTTGATGTGGAGAGAAAAATAATACTTCTATGAACCCGTCTGTCTGAGATTTTCTCTGCAAAATACAGGAGATCAGCATTTCTGGCTATGTTCACATACAGCACAGAAATAAAACAACTGACCAAGGGGTGTTTGGATATACTTTCACTGTAAATGTCTAGTTCCCATCGGGCTTCCATTACTTAAGGTAGATGTCTTTTCCCCATCAGAGCTGGAGTATATGAAAAACAGATTTATGTAGCAATTCCCATACTGCTGAGTGTATATGCTATGAATCCTATAAGTATTCAGTATGTCCTTACTAGTCACCAAAAAGAAAAAAGAAAAAGAAAAGAGATCATAAGCAAAAGGAGGAGCAGACAGATCTGATGTTGAATGTAAAATAAAGGTAATTGGCATTGGCTTAGAATGTGTTAACAGGACACTTAAGACACTGAAAATAAATTTTATTTTGGAGCCATTTTAATTCCAATTACTGGATGACGTATTTGTCTGGATTAGACCAACATCAACTGACTGTGGTGACACTGTTTTACTGTATCTGTATGATTTCACTAAGACAGATGGCATGCATTGTCTAGTACCTAGGAACATTACAGTTCTTTTTATGTGCTATTAAGTCATCTTCAACTTAATAGCAACCCTATGAATAAGTGACCTTCTGGTCACTTTCAAGCGCAAGTGCCTGTGGTTTCCTTTTTTTGAGCCAATCCATCTCATATTTTGTATTCCTCTTTCCTGCTGTCTTCAACTTTTCCCATCATCATTATCTATTCCAGCAAGTCTTGTCTTCTCATGATGTGCACAAAGTGTGGCAGCTTCAATTTCATCATTTTGTGCTTCTAGAGAGATTACAGACTTGATTTGATTTAGGATTCACTTATCTGACTTTCCGGCAGTCCATTATATCCTTAAAGCTTTGCTCCAACACCATATTTTAAATGACTCTTTTCTTCTTGTGATCTTTCAACACTGTACAGTTTTCGTATGCCTACTCAGTAACTGGGAATATGACAGTATGGATGAGTTTGGCCTTAGCCTGCAGCAACACATACTTACATTTGAGGATCTTTTTAGTTTCCTTCATAGATCCCCTTGCAAACATCTGTCATCTTTGGACTTCTCAGTTGCAACTTCTATTTGAATAGATGATTGAGCCAAGATTGACAAAATTTTCATGTTCTTTGTTGTCAACATGAAAGTTGTGTAGTTCTTACATAGTCATGATCTTTCTCTTCTTCGTATTAACTCCTGCTTTTGCACTTTCTCCTTTTTTTCATCAGGAGTCATGTTGAGTCCTTGCTGCTTTCTGACAAGTAATAAGGTGTCATCTGCATGTCTTAAATTACTAATATTTCTTACACCAATTTTCGCTCCTCTTTCATCTGAATCTAAGTCAGCTTTCCATATGATATGCTCTGCCTACAATACAGACTGAACAGATAAGGAGATAAAATACAACTTGGCTGACACCTACATTACTACAACTTGGTGTTTTGTTTTTGCTAGAATATTAATTTCATCCTCTGAAATATAAGTGCAGAATTGCACAATTGTTAAAATTGTTTAATTTCATTGTGGAAAGATTTTAGTGCTGTTATGGTCAGAAGAAACCACACTCTTTCAACGTACATTACAAGGGTCATTGTGAGGGTAAAATGATGAAACAAAGAGCCATGTATGCCTGCATTGATGTCCCCACAGGAAAAGTAAGATATAAACATAACGAACAACCAAATACAATAAATAATAAATTGTTGGTTTAT